AACTCAAGTGAGAGCTTTAATGGAGGTTTTGGGAGTGAAAATGTGGAGAGAAAATTAAGAGAGAATTCACAAGAGTGAGAGTGAATTCTAAAAATGAAATGAATTATGAGGATTATTGTGTGAGGTTTTGAGAAAATTCACTTAAATAAGTTCTAGGTTTGGGATCCAAATTTGGTTTGGAATGAGGATTAGCATTTGGAATGGACATTAGGGATGGAATTAGGAATGGAGTGTTTGACATATGTAGGGAAGTGGTGAAAATTAAACAATTCTAGATCCTTCCATGATGATCAAGTGAAATCAATGGTTGAAAATGATTGGAAAATGCACATGCTGAAAATTCAAATTTCTTTTCAAATTCTGCTCGAAGTAACCGGTTACTCAATATAGGGTAACCAGTTACCCAGTTCAAAAATCCCAAATTTGGCGCCAAATGGAGGGAATCCTGTACAACTGCCCGTTGCCACTTGTTCTGAATACTGTTGCACCTTTGAAACCAATTCTTGAACATGGTAACTGTGAGAACGCCTGAGATACCCTGTGTGTTGTCTCCTGAGCCGAGAATTAACCTGCTGTATAAAATAAAATCAATCGCTCGACCGCTGAGCAAAATAAATGTCGGAGCCTCTAATGCTCGCCATTTAAACTTTTACAATAAAAGGGAACCCTGGGCCACAGAAATGCCTTGACCCCATGCCTCAAGAACAAATGCTATGATATGCAGAAATTCAAAAATGCAGAGAAACAAAAGGCAGTTACGATAAAAACGAAAGGGAAAATTTTGGGGTGCTATACTTAACAGCTTTAATCAAGAACAATACACTCTTGCTTACAAGCTTTGAGTGAACAATTAACAATTAACAACCTAAACATGTCTACCACGATGCATCCAAAGATACAAAGGGTGACTTACAAAGTCACATACAAAAGACTCTCAAAACCTAAAACCCTTAGTTTCCACTCAAGTTTTTCTTGTTGTGAGTGCTTAATTTTCACTACGCCAAAATTGATATTTTGTATCACATAATTTAATAGCACTTTTAAAAAAAGTGCTATTAAAAAGGAAACAAACATATCTATAATAACACTTTATGGTCGGGCGCTATTATAGAGTGTAGGAAATGTGATTTTGATATCACTTTATTTAAAAAACACTATTATTAAAAAGGAAACAGACATATCTATAATAGCACTTTTAAAAAAAGTGTTATTAAAAAAGAAACAAACATATCTATAATAGCACTTTATGGTCGGACGCTATTATAAAGTGTAGACAATGTGATTTTGATAGCACTTTATTAAAAAATGCTATTATTAAACTTCAATAACATAGCGCTTTCTTTAAAATGCTATTAATATTCTTTATTAAGATCTCTTATTATAATATATTACTAAGAATAGAAGAGGAGAAGGGAGGCGAGCATCAAGCGAACCATGCTATAAACCTTCTAATCTTCATCGTGACCCATCTTCAACCTTTAGATTTCAGCAACACGTCGACCGCATCTTCACCGTCATTCGCCATATCCAATTGTAGAATGCTTGTCTGTTCGTTTCTCATAGATGAACGCAACCATAAATCCAACTCAGATTCGTTGTAGTTCGAGTTCGTTCCCGACGACCTGGTAATGCGGCCTACGACATTACATCAACAATGACACAATACATCAGACTCTGTGGTGACAACATTAACACAAGCGCCAACAACATCACTAGTCACTACGAATCTGACATCATCCGCGAATTCAATCACAACAACTACAGAAACTCACATGTCGGTAATCCTCGATCTCAAACTCTTGTGGTGTTGTAAATTTTTGGGCCAACTCTGTCGTTCTGATTTCTTCTTGTGTCATAGTTCAATCATGTAGATGTTATACATAATTAGTTGCAGGAACTCACATGTCGGTAATCCTTGATCCTAAATCGTTTTTGAAAACATCCTCTGCATGATGAGGTTTCCCGAGTAAAGGATTCTACATTTGGATATTTGTAGTTCTGCGTCAATGCCACTTTAATGAGAAGAACATTGTGCATCTTTAACTTCAAATCTTTGTCTCTCTTTAAAGCTTTAGAATCACTATTTTGAAGGAAAGCACAGGTATTTCTTAAGCATACTAGAATTGATATTTTTTGCTCTTATAATTGATATGTATGTTAGATGTTCGATTAAATGCCTCAGAGAAACAAATAGTTAATTATTCTGAATGATTATGATATTGTTTCGATGTTGTAGCTTGAGAAAGGTAGTTTGTGGTTTCTAGCAGGGGAGTGATGTGTATCTTGTTTGTGTTCACCCATTTGAATAGTTTTTGGAAGAATGATGTTGCACCCATGAATGTTTCTGTCAACAAATGTTTAAGATTTTTTTTATATATATTTGGCTGGACTTAAAAGAATGTATAAATGGTTGTATAAAGCAATAAAAGTTATCATAAATTCTTTCAATATTGTTTCCCTTGTATTTCCTGAAAAGCTTATTCGACTGCATTTACCAAGGCCAGAGTTCCTGCTGCAATAATTTTCAGTGTGATTGATCACTATAGACAAAAAAGCTAGTTCAAGAAGCTCTTGATAGGTTCATGATTGGTAGAACAACTTTTGTAATTGCGCATCAACTATCTACTATTCGCAAACCTGGCCTTGTTGTTTTACTTCAGCAAGGAAGTGTTTCTGAAATTGACAACGAGCTCTTTGCTAAAGGGGGAAATGGAGTTTATGCCAAGATTATCAAAATGCAGAAGGCAAATGAAAGTTCAACGAGCAATGTCAGAAAAAGTAGTGCTAGGAATTCTGTAAGTTAATTGATAAATACTCGAAATTCTTCTTATGGCGGCTGATCACCATACTCGAGGAGGTTTTTTGATTTTAATCTCTCCCATGATGTATAGTATCCAAATTACAAGCTTTAGAAGCTTGCCTTTAAAGAGAAAGCGAGTTCCTTCTAGCGGCATGCGAAAATGAACTCTCCTGAATGTTAGATCTGCTATTAGAGATCGAATTTCGGTAATTGTGCAGAACACTGCATTTATGCTTGTTGCCTGTATTGTAGTGGCGGCTTGCCCTCATTCTCGATGATGTGTTCCTGGTTATTGTTGCAGCCACTGTCTTACAGAAAATGTTCACATTGGGCTTCTCTGACGACTTGGAAGTTGCTCGTACTATGGCCACGCAACTAGCTGGGGAGGCTATAGCCAATGTAAGGACTATTGCTGGTTTAATTCGAAAAAGAAAATTGTTGGCCTTTTTGCTTTAAACCTTGAAACTCCACTACGACGTTACTTTTGGAAGGTACAGATTTCTGGAATTGATTATGGGCTACCTCAGTTTGCATTCTATGCTTCCTATGCTTTCGGTCTTAGGTATGCTTCTTGGCTTATGAAGCATGGCATCTCCGATTACTCTACAATAATCAGAGTATTTATGGTCCTCATGGTCTCTGCTAATGGTGTTGCTAAAACTTTAACATTAGCTCCTGACATTAGCCATGAGGTTGGTTTTCGACCTCCTTGACCGTAGAACTGAAATTGAGCCAGATGATCCAGATGCCGCCCATGTCCCTGACTCTCTTTGCTGTGAAGTAGAATTCAAGCATGTTAATTTCTCTTATCCCAGCCGATCAGATATGCCGATTTTCCGCGACCTTAGTCTTCGAGGCAAAACTCTTGCCCTTGTAGGACCTAGAGGATGTGGCAAGAGCTCAGCTATTGCACTTATACAAAGATTATATGATTCAACTTCCGGTCGGGTCACAGTCGATGGATAGAACATGAGGAAATACAATCTCAAGTCCCTCTGAAAACACATTGCAGTGGTGCCCCAAGAGCTATGCCTATTTGCTACTACTATATACAAAATATTGCTTATGAACGGACACAACTCAGCTTCCGAAGCCAAGATTTTTAAAGCCCTGACTCTTGCCAATGCTCACAAAGTCACAACTTCTCTCCTCGACAGATACAAAACATTTGTTGGAGAACGAGGAGTTCAACTATCTGTTGTCCCTATGCTGGAGGCTGTAATAACAGTTTTTCCAATAGAGAAGATTGATGTCCACTTCCATGACACTTATGGCCAATCCCTTTTGAACATTCTTGTTTCCCTTCAAGTAAGTCATCAACTTATAGCTTTTCATTTTTACTTGCTTGCGATTCTTCGTATATGTCGAAGCTTTTATCGATGCGCCGATGATTCTACTAAGGAAATCAATGGAAGCAATCAATAATTAATTTGTATTTATATAGATGGGAATTAGTATATTGGATTCCTCAGTTGCTGGTCTTGGTAGGTGTCCATAGAAGACTAACACTCGAAGAGAATGGAAATTTGTGGTTGTATCGATGGGAAGACGTAAATGGATCAAAACAATGGGTGTCACAGTGGGCTGCAGTTTCAAATCCATGTGATATTGGTGGAATTTGTGGCAACGAGGTTTGTAAATTGGATAAAACTAAGACTAATGCTTCTTGCACTTGTTTACTAGGGACTTCTAAAGATGGAAGAGATGGACAGTGTTATGAGAATTCATCTCTTATTGGAAAATGTACTAAGGGAAAAAACGAACACACGACATCGAATTTTAGAATTTCAACTATGCAACAAACTAATTATTATTTCTCTGAATCATCAATAATAGCTAATTATAGTGAGAGTGATGTTTCTTCTGTATCAAAATGCGGCGATGCATGTTTATCAGATTGTGATTGTGTTGCTTCTGTTTATGGACTAAATGAAGAAATACCTTTTTGTTGGGTGTTGAGGAGTTTAAGTTTCGGCGGTTATGAAGATACAAGTTCCACTTTGTTTGTGAAGGTTCGAGCGAATAGTTAATGACACCAAAAAGACAAGGAAGGTCTAATAACAGTTCTTCTGATGGAATGGGGAGTGCTAAGGAAAAGGCTGTGATTATTCCAATTGTTCTAGGCATGATAATTCTCATTATTTTAATCTCTATGTTACTGTATTATAGTGTTCATAGAAAAAGAACTTTGAAAAGAGAGATGGAAAGTTCATTGGTCTTATCAGGTGCTCTAGTGAATTTTACTTACCGCGTTTTGCAAATTAGGACAAGCAACTTTTCGCAGCTTCTCAGAATAGGTATGTGTGTCCTATATTGAGTTGAATCTTACTGCGCTATGGTTTCAGTATAATTTGTTGCTAACTATTTATATTTTGAAGGTGGATTTGGAAGTGTGTATAAAGGAAGCTTAGGAGATGGTACCTCAGTGTGTATATTTGCACCTACCCTTCACTGCTATTACCGCCATTTCTGGTGGATTCTCCTACCTTTACTACTCTTCCTCTCCCAGTCTGGTAGCTGCTAAATTTACTTTTCGTCCTTGTGTTCTCTTTTAAATTTTAATCGATTCTTTTTCTTCATTTGCATGAATATAATAAACTCGGTAATCAAATTTGTTTTGACTTTTTGCAGGTTCACTTAGATCAAATTGGAGATGAGACAATTACGACTAAAAATATCGGTGAGTTTCCTCTTAGTTGGAATTGAATCGAGTGAATTGACAATATCTATTGTGACTGTTTTTTGTGTGGATATAGTGTAATATAATGGTGTGGTAGATTTATCTATAAAAAATCAGCGTAGGTTTTGGATTGATTTGTACAGATGAGTTACTGGGGAAAATAGATTTATGTGCCTATAAATATAGATTATTGCTTTGTAGCTTGCATTATGATTTGTACCTTCTGATTCCAGTGTTGACAAAGAATATTTTGCTTTTTTTGTTTGTTTTTGTTTTCAACACTGATTCCTGATAAATGGGTTGAGTTTAAGCTGCAAGACACTGCCAGGGTCAGTCAAAATACTCACTTATACATGTATTATATCCTATAGGACAAATCATGAATATGGACACATTTGTAATATCTCACTATAATTTGTGTGAAGTGTAATAATGTTTGACTCTATTCATCTGATGGTGTTTCTCTTCCTTAATTTTGTTAGCTCGTCTTTCAACAAGTTTTTGATCAATTTGTGATAGAAACACTCTTGGGGCCACCTTTGGTGGAAATTCGAAGGGCCGAAGAGGAAGAGGAAAGACTAGCACACGAGGTTCAAAAGTTGTAAAATGCTGGTGCAAACATGCCACCGGATCTTCGACGGAAGCTGCAATAGCAACACCTTCGACTCCGCGACAATAACTTAACTTTGCTTCGGGAACAATAGTAATAACATCCATCTGCAACAACACCGAGAAACACTGTAACGACTTTGCCATACGAACTCGACGACACCGTTTTTCCGTTCAAGTCCAACCACAACAACAACAGAGCTCGCACTTGATTTTTGCTTTGTCGGTTTCAAATTCGCAGAAATTATGCTGCTGTCTGTTAATCAAATTCATATGCAGGTTTCAAATCTAGGAAAGCTTGGGATTGTTCAAGTCTAGAATTTGATTTCGATTATGCAAACATAAATGAATTAGTAATGGATATGTGGATTCCATGAATTTGCTGTTGGTGTGCGATTTGCATCAATATTCAAACATCGCGACAATTCTCGGAAACAATCCTACGATTGTCGAGGTTATGGTTTATATACTTAAAAGGAGGAAGTTTTAAGTTAGCTGGCCAAATGTGCTTTTGTAATGGAGTTACTTTGCTTTTCTCAGCCGTGAGTACGAAATCCCGGTAACAACTCAAGCCAATTTCTCTATTGCGTAATGTATCTGATGTTTAGCTGTGAACTCTGTTAGATTGTTTTAATTTTCATTATTTCAATTGTTGTTGTTGTTTGTTAATTTCTTGGCATGGTATAAAGTCGTATCTGATCCGTGGTGTCGACATTATTCTTTTGATGTATTAAGGGGATACTATTGCTGCTGCTGTGATTTTAAAATTCTGATGAACCATGTATGCATATTGTTATAGTATGATGCAGACTGAAATGCTAGTTGTGATATGCTTCTCAATTATGCCGATTTGTGCATTTTTTGTTTTTTCAATTTGTTGATTAATATGTTGAAGAATCTAGATACAACTTAAAGAGAAAGAACTTGTTCATGTATTATCATTTTGTTTCGTTATCGCATTGAGACATTTGTTTCTGTTTTGATTCGTTGCGCTTTGCGTTCCAATGTTTGGAGCTTGATTCACCTGTTGCGATTTGAATTCCAATGGGAGGATCTTAGAGTTATGCCTAACACTTTTGATCGTGTTCCATCTAGTTGGTCAATGGTCACAAATTGAGTGGAAAGACGAAATTAATCACATACTTAGTTTTCTCATGTTATGCGTTATGGGGTACTATCTGCTTTGACAGTGTTAACCTTTTAGCAGGGTAGACTTTATCATGTAAAGATTTTCTTTTGCTATTGTTGTAGATTAGTTTGATATCTACTAGATTAGTTACTTTCTCAAGCAGTTTTGTGTAGATATTGAGTATTACATGGTTATAGGGGCAAATCTACCGATATGAGATAGTTAGTTGCTGGACAGACATTATTATGAATTTTGCTACTCAATCCTCCCATTTATTGTAGTATTGAGTTATAAAATCTCATTTTCTTAAAATAATAAATAAAGGGAATTAATAGCGCTTTTCTAGAAAGTGCTAAAAAGATAGTGTCTACAATAACACTTTTAGAAAAAGTGCTATTAAATACAAGGACTATAATAGCACTTCTATAAAAAACGCTATTAAATACAAGGACTATAATAACACTTCTTCAAAAAGCACTATTAAATCCTTTCATAAACAAGGTGTATGGTAGAGTGGAACAGGGCAATGATAGCATTTATAATGAAGTTCTATTAAAAACACTCATTTTAATAGCGTTTTCAAAGCGCTATTATATGTATCAAATCTATATAGCGGGGGCTTTTATAGCGCTATTAAAAAAAATTTGGCGTAGTGTTTCCTTGCTTCTGCGCCTCCTTAAATAGTAATGCAGTCTAGGCTTGGGCTGATCAAAAGTAACAGCAGGGAGAGAAGATTTCAATGTTCATAAATTGCAATAGAAATTAGGTTTAACCAAGTTAATCCAATCTCCACAATTCATGGTGCTATCAAATAGGTCATAGGCGTTTCATGTTATGCTCAACACCGCCTAGAGTCTCGCCTGAGATAACTAAGGAGCCCTAGCAGGTTTCCTAAAATCTAGCCTGAGATAACTTAGGAACCATAACAAAAAAAAACACGCGCCCTTGATGTCAGCTACCTGATGTCATGACATTCAGTATGACATCCAATACACTTTGTTCTTAATAAATCTCTTTGACCTGCACACACTGATGAGGTATATCCAACATGATCTCATCAAACAAAAACACCTCTGTCAAGAGATATAAAATAGCAGGTCTTGCTGTACCAGATAAAGATGTCATGACATCTGTCTTGACATCTTGATTAAAACACATGACAGCAGTTCTGTCTTGACAGTAGATGAAGATCTTATAACATCTTGCTTAACATCATAGAACCATGAATCATGTTTTACCAAAATTTAGTCAATCATATAACCATGGACCATCATAGAATCATGGAACTAATAGTATTTATCATCAACACATCTGATCTTTGTCCTCTTACCAGAGTAAAAATCAACCAGCCATTTCTTATTTCCAGTAAGATGATTTGAGTAGTCAGTGTCCATATACCACCAGTTTGTCAAATCCGTATCATAGGATTCAGAAGCCATCAGTAGCACAGATTCATCATCAAAACTTCTGGCTATATTTGCTTCTTGTGACTTCATTTCCTTGTTTGACCAGCAATCAACAGCAAAATGGTCAAACTTCTTACAACAGTAGTACTGGATATTCTTCTTGTCATACCTCTCTTTTCCCTTATGAGCATTCTTCTGTCTATCAGAAGTTGAGGTTTCTGACTTCTGAACACCATCAGATCTTCTCCTGGCTCCTGACCAAGACTACTTCCGATGCTTCTTACCAGAACCTGTTTTTAGAGCCTGCTACTCTACTTCTCTTTTAGAAGTTCTCTCAGTCAGACGCAACTGTTGTGCCTCTAGCCTACTTTGCAGTTCTTCAATTCTCATGGTGCTCAGATATTTAGTATGTTCTATTGCTATCATAATGTAATCAAACTGAGGGGTAAGAGATCTCAATACCTTCTCAATGATTACTTGTTTAGAAAGTGGTTCTCCACAAGCTTTCATCTCATTAGTGATCAGAATCACTCTAGTGATGTACTCAGATAGTTTCTCATTCTTCTTCATGTTGAGATTCTCATACTGTTTTCGTAGGGACTGAAGCTTCACCTTCTTCCCTAATGCGTCGCCACCATAGCACCTGACTAGTGTATCCCACGCAACCTTTGTCGTCGTTGAATCGATGATTTTCTCAAACACATTTGCATCCTCACACTGATGGATGTAGAACAATGCTTTCTGATCTTTCTTCCTCGTATCTTTCTGTGCGTCCTTTTATTCCTCTGTTGCATTTGCATTACTACTAGTTTTTATTATTTTTTCTATAGATAAATTTCTGTTTAACAATTTTCAATTTTTTTTGCAAAACAACCATAAAACTTTACCGACTTATATATACACAAAAATACTAGAACTCAGTACTTTAATCAATCTTTTGAAGAATGATAACTCGTTTATTATTTTGATATTATGGTACACTTACGACGTGTTGTGTAGAAAAAATCGCACAATTGTAAAATTAATTAAATATAGATTCTTGTTAATTGAAATAATTTATCAACAACACAATAATTATTATTACAATACGTTTTACTTGTGGATAAACATGTTGTAACTCGATATGATATATTATTTTAATAAATAACTTTATCATGGTGCTAGAAGATAAAAATTTATTTATTTTTCAAGAAAGGTTAAAAAATTAATGAAAGGTTAAAACAAAACAATTCCTTTAATATTGTGAAAGGTTAACATATTACCCTTTAATATTAAGTTTCCGCCTTGTTAGGTGTACTAAGAGACAAACACAACACACTTATATACATAAGTGATATTACATAATAATTTTATTTTAAAAAATGGTTTTTAGAATTTCCTAAATGCTAAACATTATTTTTAAGAGAGAGTGAGTTTTATATACTACAAAGAGGTCAAATCATATCATGAACATTATAAACTATAAAGAGATGAAATCATATTATGTATCTTATATGAAAAGAAAAAGAATATGAATAGAGTTTTCAAGTCTGTATATGTTATGAATCTCTTACTTTTCTTATCTTTTGTCCTCGTAAATGGTGGTGGCGGTAAGTATTATTTCAAATTTCCTTCTTTACTTGGTAGTTTGTAAGAAAAAGCTATGTATAGTAACATTATTTTATCATATTTTTTTATTACAGAAGAATATAGATGTAAAA